TATTGGCGATATTTTCAATATTTTGAAAACTGTAGCTACCACTGATGCCCCTGATATCAACCACTGATACATGTTATCAGTGGTTGGACAATATCAGTGGTTTAGGGGTGAGTATCAGTATGAGTGGGAGTGGATATAGTGACATGGATGAACATAGTCACTCACAGAGGTCGTTCACATAAATATATGTGAATTATGTAAATATCCTTGGACCCAATAGCTTATCGATCCTCTCTGCTCTCTTTTCTCTCACTGTTATCTTTAGTTTCTAGTCCGCTAGGTACTCCCATCCTGGCTAGTTTTAATGTCTCAGGTTGATGGAGCTTGCCTCTCCAGCTTACTAGTGTCTTGTTAGGCTAGACAGCAAATGTTTTTGGATAGTATTGAAGAAGTTCAGCTCCAGCTGTTCAAGATTTCCGTATTACTCGTATAGCTGTCCAACCACTTGGGCTGGACGGTAGAGCGACGGTCTCGCTTCATGCAGGTCGGTGTTCAATCCCCGACCGGCCGCAAGTGGTTGGGCACCATTCCTTCCCCTCGTCCCATCCCAAATCCTTATCCATTCCAAGGGCTATATAGTCGTAACGGCTTGCCGCTTTCCCCTGATAGTTCCATTCCATGCTCGTATAATTGCCTAACAGCTCAACTATTCACACCTTTATTCTTGAGGATGTTTCATAAGAACATAAAGCAGACTCACAAGGCTTATTACCCTACACGAGGCAGCTCCTTAGTAATACCCACCCAAGCTCTTGCATATAAATATATGTCTAGGCTGCGTTTGAAACACTCCAGAGATCTAAAGTCTATCATGCTACCCGGTACCTTGGCAGCGTTTAATTCATTTAAGCCGCTTTCTGGAGCATTTATTTTGTTGTAACAAATGCCAGCACAGAGAGAATAGTGCAAAATTACCAGTACATAAACTTGAAAAAATGATAATCCCTCAATTGATTGTTTCAAGCGTAGGTTAGACATATAAATGACTGAGTTTGTATGGATATAATTAGGAGTTGGACCTCGTATGACCCAATAGGTCTCTGCTGTCTTACCTAGTCTTACAGTCTTGTACACGTCAAGTCAACAAAATCTCTAATATCCCACCCGTCAGGAGATATCTTGCGTCCCTATTAGTAAACTATAAATGGTCAATTTCGCCTTCTAAGGTCCTAGAGCATTAAAGAGGAAATCATAACGAACGTGAGGCAAAATCCCCGATAAAGATTGTTGAAAAGGAGCATTGGATGCTGTTGTAGGGAATCACAGAAGATCTCGGATGCTGCTAAATCCTATGAAATGACATTGGATCCTATTACATGATATGTAAGCCTATTAAATGCGCTTATACTATTGATCAGACTTGATTTGAATAAAGAAGAGGAGGATTAGACTACGGTAAACTTGAACCATACTGTAGGATTGAGCAGAATATATTGTCACGGGGAGGATGAATACTAATTACAAGGGGTCAGATCGTGTTTTTATCCATGTGAATATTAATTAATATCCGAGTTTTCAATTTAAACAATTTAATTAAAAAGGTGGGAAATGCTATTTAATGTGAGAATGGCCCTTTTGTAGGGGCGCAGTTGTCTCAGTGGTGGTATATTACGGGTTGAAATATCTCGATTTGACCTCTGACCTCTGACCTTAGACTCATATTTGGCACCGCAATACGGGGAGAGGGTCATCGTAGGGTTCCTGACTTGATTCCTGGTTCCTTTGTGATTGTCTGTCCGTGTCAGGGTTCCCGGGCTATGCACGACGTTATTCGTCGCTGGAGAACTCGTTCTCTTAGATAATACACCGTATTTTGACGCTATTATCCCCGTCGGATAAAATATGATGTTATATAAATCACAGCTGCTCACAAATAATTGCGTTTTCTATGCTGGTTAGGTTAGGTTAGGTTAGGTCGGTGGCATAGGCTAGCGTGTTTCAGTACGTTGTTTTTTGACCGTTGTAACAACTCTAGAGGACGGGTTGGGTTAGGCGGCATCCTAGAACCCGTCTTGTACAGGTCCGACGGTAATTGGACTTGGACTCTTAAGTCCGACGCCGCAACAGTTGTGAATGAGAGGTTGGACTTGTCACACTCACTACATTCTTTTAGCGGATTCGTCGTTATGGTGAAATTAGTTGCAGAATCGTAATTACCTAAGTGTAATTACAGGATGAGAGCTACGCTCGTGGTGTCCCGTCTTCCCAATACTCTTTGTCGTATAACGCTTTGTGAGGAAGAGTGATTGCTTCTCATGAATGAGATTAACAATGAGTGTACTCATAACTTCTCTCCAGCGTGAGAAGATATTCCTATTGACTTCCGGAGCATCACTTGCACTCATTGAGAATAAAATGTTGTGTGGGTATGCAAATGAGGACATTAGATATATGCAAATGAGGACATTAGATATATGCAAATGAGGACATTAGATATATGCAAATGAGGACATTAGATATATGCAAATGAGGACATTAGATATATGCAAATGAGGACATTAGATATATGCAAATGAGGACATTGCAAATGAGGATATATGCAAATGAGGACATTAGATATATGCAAATGAGGACATTCGATATCGACATATATGCAAATGAGGACATTAGATATATGCAAATGAGGACATTAGATATATGCAAATGAGGACATTAGATATATGCAAATGAGGACATTAGATATATGCAAATGAGGACATTAGATATAAACCGGGTTTTTAAGGATTAACAAATAACTGAAGAGTTTGAATAAATGTCATAATTCGTGTTTTTTTTATTTTTAAGTATGTGATTGTGGAAGGTAGTTTGAGGGGGATTACTGTGACAACGAAGTGTAGTTTCAATATGTAGTTTCACCAACAATATGTGGTTTCATCAACAATATGTAGTTTCAATATGTAGTTTCAATATGTAGTTTCAATATGTAGTTTCACCAACTATATGTGGTTTCATCAACAATATGTAGTTTCAATATGTAGTTTCACCAACAATATGTGGTTTCATCAACAATATGTAGTTTCAATATGTAGTTTCAATATGTAGTTTCACCAACAATATGTGGTTTCATCAACAATATGTAGTTTCAATATGTAGTTTCAATATGTGGTTTCACCAACAATATGTGGTTTCACCAACAATATGTAGTTTCAATATGTAGTTTCACCAACTTCTCGTCTACAGGTTGGTGTTGATGAAGAGGTCCGCCAGCTGCTTGACCTCAAGGGCTTGGCCGCCCAGCGTGACCTGGGACTCCTCAAGAGTCAGGTCAAGGCCCTCAAAGGTCAGGTCAAGGCGGCTGAAGACGCTGTCAACACAGCGCCTGCTGGCAAGACCGCTGCTGTCAAAACGGCTGCCGCTGTCAACACGCCTGCCGTCAATCAACGCCCAGGTAACATTTACAATGACCACCAGTGTGTTTATGTGGTATATGTGTATATATATATGTGGAATGCAACCACACTGGTTATCTTGAGGTTATCTTGAGATGATTTCGGGGCTTTTAGTGTCCCCGCGGCCCGGTCCTCGACCAGGCCTCCACCCCCAGGAAGCAGCCCGTGACAGCTGACTAACACCTAGGTACCTATTTACTGCTAGGTAACAGGGGCATAGGGTGAAAGAAACTTTGCCCATTTGTTTCTGCCTCGTGCGGGAATCGAACCCGCGCCACAGAATTACGAGTCCTGCGCGCTATCCACCAGGCTACGAGGCTGGTGGTTGCATTCTATATATAACTTACCTTGCATTCCATATATAACATTTCCAAGATGTTTGGCTACATACAATTTAGGAAACATTTTTGAGGAAGACAAAATTTACGAAATTTGTCGAAATGATTTAGATTTTCTGAGACATTATATTCTATTTCTCGCGTTCTGTTTTTGGATTTGTATACAAGTGAGTTTATCAAACTCAAAATTGGCTTCTTTGGGAAATTGCAATCTCCCATAACTTCTAAATTGATGAGTGATGAAGCGATGATTATTGTCTAGCATATTGTTGGTGCTTCGAGACACAATCAACTCATCAGAATACAGCTTTGTTCAATATGTCTGTTGAACAGACCACACACTAGAAGGTGAAGGGACGACGACGTTTCGGTCCGTCCTGGACCATTCTCACAATCGACTTGAGAATTTCGGTCCAGGACGGACCGAAACGTCGTCGTCGTCCCTTCACCTTCTAGTGTGTTGTCTGGTCAACCCCTACTACCATTTCCAGACTTGACTCATGTAGCCACTATCTTCATCTGTGTTCACGTGGAAGGTTCCAGATACCCGTAAAGACATCAGTCACATTTGAAGCCATACATTGGGCTCGAACTCTCGTTCCTGGTCTCCCCCCGGGCACATGCACGACAGACTGTAGTCTGACGATGAGGGTTCGATCCGGTGATCCAATGTTTTCTCATTGAAACATCAGTTGTGATTTTTATAATTGTATTCATACACGCCTTGAGTGTATGAATACTGTATACACAGCATCTTATGGCTCGAGTCTCATGAGAGATAATTTAATTTTTTGAGATATATACAAGAGTTGTTACATTCTTGTACAGCCACTAGTACGCGTAGCGTTTCGGGCAAGTCGTTAATCCTAATCCTAATCCTTAATCCTAATCCTAATCTCCAAACTCTTAAGAATGTTAATAAATCTCAATTAATTTCCAGGATAATCACTTTTTTTAATGTGATTAGACAAAACTTCCCAATTAGTTTCCGAGAGTCCAAGGTCAGGACTCAACAAGTATTTACACAGCCACTCATCAAACGTGTAAACACCGTTCCACAATCATACTGACTTTGTTTACACTTGCTAAACAGTTTATGAGCTCTGCAGCACTACGAGGTTATTACCTACAACCATAATAACCTTGGGTTGTGAAGTTTACAAGTTTGTTAACCTTAAAAATCCCTAAAACTTGTAAAAGAATATCACAAGAATGTGGCTGAAGTATGTTGACCAGACCACACACTAGAAAGTGAAGGGACGACGACGTTGCGGTCCGTCCTGGACCATTCTCAAGTCGATCACAATCGACTTGCAAATGGTCCAGGATGGACCGAAACGTCGTCGTCCCTTCACTTTCTAGTGTGTGGTCTGGTCCACAAGAACGGCGTGTTTGAATTTCTTGAATGACAGCTTCGAATTTATATAAATGCATAAAGAAGTCAAAGATGGTCAGGACCGAGTTCCGAAACGGACCGAATCCCTGGAACTCGGTCTATTATGAGGAGTGTGACCGGAAAATTCACTTTTGCTCTTTCAGACGCCATCGAAATGGAGATCTCCACTCCCGTGGCTTCTTCAGGATTCCAAAAGAGCTGAATATTATGTAAGAGAGTCACCTCTCGTTGAAGAAAGACCTTCTCCAGCCCAAGAAATCACGGCTCAAGTGCCATTTCGAAATGCGAGTCTTTTTGAAAGGAAAACTGAAAAATTCACCTTAAATTAAGTCTTAGTCTTTATGTTCATTTTGCATTGTATTATTTCGAATTTAATTGGCTCAAATTAAATATTAACGATTTACTGTATCTGCAATTGCATATTTGATTTAAATTTAATAGTTTACTTACATTTAATGCAAGGACCGAGTCAGCCATGACATTTTCCTCCGAAAGCCCCATTTTGAAGGAAAGACTATGATTCTTTTTTTAATTTCTTGCGCCCACCTTCTGAAGAAACAGAATTTACGTAATATGATATTGGCAATGAATGTAGAACATAAACAAACATAATTTTGCTTTGAAGTAAGTAAATGTTAGAACGGAATAAAGTCGAAGTAAGTGTACAGTGGCGCCAGAGGAAGTTGATGATCCAACCGTCTTATCTACTGGCTTTGGCATCCTTCCTTTGTCAACTTAAGCCTTTTGGGGAATAAAATGAGATTATCTTTATTAAAATGATCTTTATTCGCGTTCTACATCCATTACCAATATTTGTTTTGAACATTTTTGAACGGACAAAAATTTATTTCGTCTTTATTTATTCAATTCTAATACGTTTTGAGTGATTATATGGGCCGTTATAGGCCTACTGCACTGTTTCTACTGTTCTTAAGTTATTATGCTGTTTTGAATTTAAATTTGAATTTAATATTTTGAATATATATATATATATAGTCCTATAAACAGAAGTCGGAGTCAGAGGCGGTTTATAGAAAATTTGACATAGAAACTGGCTGTTAAAATCAAATTTAAAAAATAACCGTCAGCCATAAACAGTGAACGCTATAACTTAAACAAGTAACATAGACATCCAAAACGCGACAAAGAAAAGAAATCAAGACCAGACGACAGAAATGGGACACGCGAAGGGACGTCAGTCACCTCATAAAGAAAATGGTTGTAATTAACTGAGGAAACGCGGGCTGCTGGCATGGCGACCTGACGGTCTGGCGGGATATTTGAATTGCGCGCCAAATTCGGGTCAAGATGTGACGGCGCCTAACGGTTGACGAGGCGGGAAAATTTAATGATTTTCTGGCGGCGCTCTTGCCTCGGTTACATTCCCGGCTTGGTCCCCTGACACGTGAGTCTCCTCTCCATCGTATCTACCAGGTCATGTAGGTAGTTGTAGAGAACACACATTCTTGACAACGCTGTGAATAAGCAATCAGATAAAAGTAGATTATTTTATTCATAACTTTAAACCAGGCTACGCTATACATACCAGGTCAAAGTTAAAGGCAAATCATAGATTTTTAAAAATCATACCACAGGCTATAGTAACTAACTTTTTGGGGTCAAACTCATACCATCAACTTACATATTTGTCAAACATTATTCTGAAACTTGACCTCACTAGCATATTTTGTAAGCATTGTCCCTGCAAGTTGAGTTTTGCAGGGAAATCTATTCTTGGCTACTTTTTCAACACCTGGAAACGATTATGAAGAATATGACAAAACTGATTTAAGAGAAAAGGAAAGTTGAAGAAAGTGAGTATGTGAGAGTGTAAGAGTAAGAGAGAGAGAGAGAGAGAGAGAGAGAGAGAGAGAGAGAGAGAGAGAGAGAGAGAGAGAGAGAGAGAGAGAGCAAAAAGAGTGATAGTATAAACAAAAGAGGGAATAACGAAAATCGACAAATACAGACATAAGAAAAATACAATTTATCAAAGAACAAGAGAAATACATGGGGAAAAACAAACTAAAACAGACAAAGGAAGAGATAATTCAATAAAGATGGGAGGACCCGGAAGGTGATTAGGGTAACAGGGAGGGAAAGGTGAAAGAAAGGGTGAGGTGTTTTAAGGCCATATACAGCAGCCTCATACATCTGTATACAGCAGCCTTTTACAACTGTATACAGCAGCCTCATACAACAGCTTCGTACATCTGCATACAACAGCCTCATACATCTGTATACAGCAGCCTCGTACATCTATATATAACATCCTCATACATCTGTATACAGCAGCCTCATACGTCAATATTCACACACACACACAATCCTAGCATCCTCCATTCACACACCCCTCTTACATAACATCTAATCCAAACACACCATTTTATCCAGTCAAACATCCACACTCTCAATAATATTTTATCCAGACCCTCTTCACACTCCTCAATAACCAATGTCCTTTCACTCATTTCCTCATCTTTAATTTTTGTTCTTGCTCCCCTTTCTTCTCTTTCCCTACTGCTCAGTTTCACATTCGTTCTAATATTCACACAGTCAAAACACAATCTAATATTCACACAATCAATCCCCATGATCTGTGCTCTTAATATATCAGCAGTATAACCATGCTAAATAAATTCATGCTGTACAGTTGGTGTTGTAATCCCCGATCAATCGCTATCCCACCGCTGCCACCATTGATACGATCAATCGCTATCCCACCGCTGCCACCATTGATACGATCAATCGCTATCCCACCGCTGCCACCATTGATACGATCAATCGCTATCCCACCGCTGCCACCATTGATACGATCAATCGCTATCCCACCGCTGCCACCATTGATACGATCAATCGCTATCCCACCGCTGCCACCATTGATACGATCAATCGCTATCCCACCGCTGCCACCATTGATACGATCAATTGCTATCCCACCGCTGCCACCATTGATACGATCAATCGCTATCCCACCGCTGCCACCATTGATACGATCAATCGCTATCCCACCGCTGCCACCATTGATACGCAATTTTAGCACGAGAGTGCAGCTAATTGATATGGCCGAGCCCCACGGCTCTTATTTACCACGTAAACAATATACCGTTTGCCAAGAATATTCTTGCTGCTGATCAACAAATTTCAGTGAGAGTCATGATCTGTGATACTTTTTTAAGTCCCTGTTGCATATAAAAAAAATATATTTTTTTAATGGTTTGGGGGGGGGGAGTTAAGTAACTAATTTATGTAAATTGTAGTTGTGCGGCGTGTGCATCAACCAATCACAGACAAGATCAGAATTTTTTTTTATTAGGCTTACTGATTAGTGTTTATTATTCTCTCAGGGGCATACCAAATATTTTATTAAATACTCTGTAGCATACTGAATGTTTATTGAACTCTCTGGGGCATGCCGAGTATTTTATTAAGAACTCTGGGGAATGTTGAGAATTTATTGAACTCTTTGGTAATGTAGGGTGTTTATTGAACTCTCTGGGGTATACTGAGTGGTTATTATACTCTCTGAGGCTTACTGAGTGTTTTATTATACTCTCTGGGGCTTATTGAGTGCTTATTGTACTTTCAGGGGCTTACTGAGGTTATCTTGAGATGATTTCAGGGCTTTTTAGTGTCCCCACGGCCCGGTCCTCGACCAGACCTCCACCCCCAGAAAGCAGCCCGTGACAGCTGACTAACACCCAGGTACCTATTTTACTGCTAGGTAACAGGGGCATAGGGTGAAAGAAACTCTGCCCATTGTTTCTCGCCGGCGCCCGGGATCGAACACGGGACCACAGGATCACAAGTCCAGTGTGCTGTCCGCTCGGCCAACCGGCTCCAGTCGACCGGCTGAGTGTCGATTAACCACTCCTTATCTTCAAATTGGCAGAAATCTAATTAATTTTCTATCGTGTTAAGAACACCCATATTTACTTTGTCATAGTTCTGCTTAAAGTCTTTTGCAGAGATTCCTCCTGTAGGTATTTTGCTGCCGGAAGACTGTCGCTGTAACAGAACTTTTACGTCTAGACGTAGTGAAGGAAGGTAAAAGCATTAGTGGTGAGACAAAGGAGGCTTCTTCATTTAGATCACAGCCTGAGGGAGCGGGTAACAGGATTAGTGGTGAGGGGGAAAGTTACCTTTAGGAAACAGTGTAAGTCAGGCTGTTTTGAACGTTTTAAAAACGTTGGAAAATTGTAATAACGTTTTATAAAATGTTGTAACTATTTAATAACGTTTTAAAAACGTTGGAAAATTGTAATAACGTTTTTAAAATGTTGTAACTATTTAATAACGTTTTAAAAATGTTGTAACTATTTAATAACGTTTTAAAAATGTTGTAACTATTTAATAACGTTTTAAAAACGTTGTAAAATTATAATAACGTTTTTAAAATGTTGTAAAATTATAATAACGTTTTTAAAAACGTTGTAAAATTATAATAACTTTTTAAAATGCTGTAACTATTTAATAACGTTTTAAAAACGTTGTAAAATTATAATAACGTTTTTAAAATGTTGTAAAAAAACGTTTTAAAAACGTTTTAACTGTGTATTATCATTAAAAAACATTGTAATTGGATTGTGTGTTTGTTGGTAGACCTCATGTGATGATGTAAGGGCAAAACGTCAACAATGTATATGACAAAATAACTCTAAAAATAAAAGATACAGCATAAGTTGTCTTGTCCCATTTGGGGCAGCTCCTTTTTATATCCACATAAACTTAATCATATGTCTAACTTGCGCTTGAAACAATAAAGCGATATCTGATTATTATGTTTCCTGGTAGTTTGTTTCATAAGAATTAACTTAAGTTAATTAAGTTATTAATTAATAACATTAATTATTATTATTAGTTATTGGAATTAAGTTATTAATTCCAATAACTTCTTTATTGGAAAGAGCAGTTTTTATTGTCTTTTTATTTTGGTAAGTTGACGGTGTTTGGAAACATCTGTTGTAAAATGCTCATTGTAAACTTAGCATTACCTTAGTGCGTATGCGGGTGAGATATTAAGCTCCCTACAAAAACATACAGACCAAGAACTGACATACTGACTACGAGGGGGCCTCGTAGCCTGGTGGATAGCGCGCAGGACTCGTAATTCTGTGGCGCGGGTTCGATTCCCGCACGAGGCAGAAACAAATGGGCAAAGTTTCTTTCACTTTGAATGCCCCTGTTACCTAGCAGTAAATAGGTACCTGGGAGTTAGTCAGCTGTCACGGGCTGCTTCCTGTGGGTGGAGGCCTGGTCGAGGACCGGGCCGCGGGGACACTAAAGCCCCAAAATCATCTCAAGATAACCTCAAGAAGAAGCCAGTATATCCCTTATTCCCAAACATAGCAGCCCAAGTGTCTTCAACCAAGTGTGTATATATATGTCACGTAAACAAACTCACATAAGTTAAAACCTGCCAATATTTACCACATTACAGGTTAGAGGGGGAATATTTTCACTAAATTCCCTCACCTCAACATCGTCGTTGACATTTAGCGCAGCATAATTTCTTGTCAGCGGGGGAGAGGAAATTTACTTCTCGTCCTGGAAGCAGGAAGAGTCGACTCCCACTGGACGTCGACTCCCACTGGACGTCGTCGATCCCACTGGACGTCGACTCCCACTGGACGTTAGACGTCGACTCCCACTGGACGTCGACTCCCACTGGACGTCGACTTGGACGTCGATCCCAGGACGTCGAACTGGACGTCATCCCACTGAACGTCGACTCCCACTGGACGTCGTTACGTCGACTCCCAACGTCGACTCCCACTGGACGTCGTCCCACTGGACGTCGACGTCGACTCCCACTGGACGTCGACTCCCACTGGACGTCGCTAGTCGACTCCCACTGGTCGATATTTAGATTTAGATTTACATTTTTTTATTCAGGAAAGACATTGAAGATGAGTTACAAACATAATGTTGGATTTCAAGATAGAGCTAGTACAGATTTCAAGATAGAGCTAGTACAGATTTCAAGATAGAGCTAGTACAGATTTCAAGATAGAGCTAGTACAGATTTCAAGATAGAGCTAGTACAGATTTCAAGATAGAGCTAGTACATACAAATACCTAAAGCCACTAATACGCATAGCGTTTCGGGCAAAACGCATAAGCGTTTACGTTGCGTTAAACGCTTACATAAACACATAGCGTTTAAACGCATGCTAATACGCATAGCGTAAACGCATACTAATACGCATAGCATAAACGCATACTAATACGCATAGTGTTTCGGGCAAACGCATAAGCATTTACGCATAGCGTAAACGCTATAGCGTTAAACGCTTACGTAAACGCATAGCGTAACGCATTACGTAAACGCATAGCGTTTACATATGATGTAGTGTGGGGAGGTGTTCCCTCAAGTGACATGATGTGAGATGTTCTCTGAGGTGACGTGGTGTAGGGAGACAGAACCCTTTGAGAGACGTGGTGTGGGAAGATAGAGCCCCTCAGGAATTTCTCTTGCTCTAGGGTTCTATTGGTGTACCAAAAACTAAGCTCACTGATAGTTGGAGGAGGGTGGTTGCTATATAGTGCTTTGGCTATATCTATTCTTCTAGTGTCATTGTGTCTGTCTATTGTTTTTGTCGGTGGATACAATAGACATAGTAGTATAAGATTAGACATAGTTGAAGCACATCATATTAAATGCTCTTATCCATCTATCACCAGCCGGCTAGTGGATACAGCTTATCATTCTATAGACCGAGAGAGAGAATTTCCTCCTTTCACCACACCTACTCTTTGTCAGACAGAGAGAAACAAATAGAGACAGGCACAGAGAGAAGATATAGAGGCAGAGAGATACAGACATAGAGACAGAATTACAAACAGATACAGGGACAAAGAGACATGTAGACATAGATAGATGCAGAGAGACAAAGAGACAGTTACAGACATAGAAAAAGAGAGACAGAGACAGCCAGAGAGAGACATAAAGACACAACACAGAGAAGAAAAGAGTGACACGTTTGGATACTGTATATATTTCCATGTATTATTAGTATATCTTATTGGGACAGCTCTATGAGTTTCTAATGGCTTAAGCGACGGCCTCACTCTTTGCAAAATCGAAGTTCGATTCCCAAAGGTCCAGGTGGTTCGGTACCATTTCTTCATTCCATCCTCATGTTCTTTGCAAGATTTGTATAATCGTATTGTGTTATAGCTCTTCTGTCTCTCTCTCCATTCCTCTCTCTCTCTCTCTCTCTCTCTCTCTCTCTCTCTCTCTCTCTCTCTCTCTCTCTCTCTCTCTCTCTCTCTCTCTCCCTCTCTCTCTCTCTCTCTCTCTCCTCTCTCTCTCTCTCTCTCTCTCTCTCTCTCCCTCTCTCTCTCCTCTCTCTCTCTCTCTCTCTCTCTCTCTCTCTCTCTCTCTCTCTCTCTCTCTCTCTCTCTCTCTCTCTCTCTCTCTCTCTCTCTCTCTCTCTCTCTCTCTCTCTCTCTCTCTCTCTCTCTCTCTCTCTCTCTCTCTCTCTCTCTCTCTCTCTCTCTCTCTCTCTCTCTCTCTCTCTCTCTCTCTCTCTCTCTCTCCTTCTCTCTCTCTCTCTCTCTCTCTCTCTCTCTCTCTCTCTCTCTCTCTCTCTCTCTCTCTCTCTCTCTCTCTCTCTCTCTCTCTCTCTCTCTCTCTCTCTCTCTCTCTCTCTCTCTCTCTCTCTCTCTCTCTCTCTCTCTCTCTCTCTCTCTCTCTCTCTCTCTCTCTCCTCTCTCCCTCTCTCTCTCTCTCTCTCTCTCTCTCTCTCTCTCTCTCTCTCTCTCTCTCTCTCTCTCTCTCTCTCTCTCTCTCTCTCTCTCTCTCTCTCTCTCTCTCTCTCTCTCTCTCTCTCTCTCTCTCTCTCTCTCTCCCTCTCCCTCTCTCTCCCTCTCTCTCTCTCTCGATAATTAACTTGTTTGGACATGTGTTTGCTAGTATATCCGTGTGTGTGTGTATGTTAACTTGTTTGTTTTGTTTGTGTTGACAGGGACGTCAGACGGGGAGGTGTTGCATCACCCAGCCAGCGAGGAGGAACGTCCCCAGGGCCCAGGCCAGCCAGACCTCACCCACCACCACCACCACCAGGTCAGTCCCCACCAGTAAAGAAACACATACCAGTTACCAGAGCTAGTGGAAAAGATTGGGCAGCAAGACCAAGAGTGATTGGAAAGGGGTCACGAAGCCTCTGAGAATGTGAGTGTGTTTTGAAGAGCACAGTCAGCTGTGAGGTCTATCAAGTCATGAAGGAACATTACCATAGCTTAGTCGATAGAGCTTCGGTCTCACACGCGAGGGGGCCAGGGTTCGAGTCTCCTAGACCCCAGGTGAATGGAACGTCGCGCAAGAACATTAAAAATCCAGGGGCCTGATTCACGAAGCATTTACGCAAGCACTTACGAACCTGTACATCTTGTCACAATCTTTGGCAGCTTTGTTTACAATTATTCTACAGATAATGAGCTCCGAAGCACCAGGAGGCTGTTTATAACAATAACAACAGTTGATTGGCAAGTTTTCATGCTTGTAAACTGTTTAATAAATGTAACCAAAGCCGTCAAAGATTGAGGAAAGATGTACACGTTCGTAAGTGTTTGCGTAACTGCTTCGTGAATCTGGGTCCAGATCGTGAGGGCATCGGGACGCATACTGGATGAAGGGAAGATAGTAAGGGGGTGTACGGATAGTGACAGGGTATCTAAATCGCTATATATATATATATATGACTGAAGATGAAAGGGTAGGAAAAGGAAGGTAGAGATGCAGCTCTGATCCTCCTGGCAATTACCCCCGACATAACAGGGCAATAAAGTGGTCGTGGTTCGAGGCCCAGTGCGCCACCACACTGTTAGTGCAGATTTAGGTCATGCTCCACAAGGTCTTGGTACCACAGTAATATTGAACTGCATACAAGTGAGGCACCCACATGTAACTGAGTATTAATGTGTATTTTATTGTGTGTATAGTTAGGCCTAGATTAAGTAAGGTTAGGTTAGGTGTTTATGTTCTGATGACAATTAATTGTGTTTGTCGCAGGTGGTGAAGCATGTCAAGTCAACCCGTCCTCGACTCAAGTCCATTCCATCCAGCGGTCGACCCCACAGACGCATTCATCAATTTTAACATGCTGTTCATTCAAAACAGGAATTTTCTCAAATATAAGTTAATATTATAATAGCATATTGTGCATATATAGACATAGGTTAGATGTTTAGGTTCTGTTGGCGATTATTTGTAGTACGTGGGTGAAGCATTGACAGCGTTGTGGTTCGAACAAAATTCGTCAGTGAAATACTTGTTCCGGAAGTGTTCGAACGGCAGCAGTTGTGAGTCGTGTGTAAACCGTTTGCATTTATAAACAGGGGGTTTGGCGGGTGGATGGAATCACTTTTGGGTCCTAGTTTGGAGGACGGGCTGTTAGAATAGTGCAAATGGAAAACAGGAATAGAGCTAAGCCCATTTCTGTAAAAAAATTAATGTAGCTCAGTCGATTAAGGCAGTGTCTGGGATGCTCCCGGACGCAGGTTCGAATCCTCGTCACGGCCCTTGTGGATTTGTTCAAACAGGAATGTCCGTTAGTCCTGTCGTTAAACTCCCGGTTAATGAATCAAAATCACCCAGCCTGTAATTCACAAGTGACTACGTTCCAACTTGTGCAAAGTTAGAATTTAATTAAGAATTTAATTAAGAATTTAATTAGAATTTAAAGTTAGAATTTAGATTTATGGTTCAATAATTTCCTAACCTCAATTCCACACCCACCCCCTGCCCCAACCCCATCATTACCCTGTTCAACTACCCTTTACCTCCCCTCAGATGCAGCTGGACATCCCCTCTGAGGGGATCCATGAATCACTCTTCGAAGAAGCACGTAGATCTTCACTTCGCGGCGACCAGAAAGTGAGTACCTGGCAACCCCTCTCTCTAATGTTTATGTTTTGTAGTTGATCATTGACTCACCAGGTGGCAGGTCGGACGGGAGAGCCGCGGTACTCAGTATACGGTAGACTACTTGGCTTTGGGCGCCAGGGTAGTGAGGCAGGTAGGTAAACCCTCGTTTGTTGGGGGTATATATATATATACAATGTCCAGGACTAAAATATGTCCAGGATATGTCCAGGATGTTTTTGTCCAGGAGAAAACTTGTTGGTTGGTCAAATGAGATTAATGTGGGCATTTATTCTCGTTTAATGGTATTTATCCTCGTTTGATTGGCCTTTATCCTCGCTTGATTGGCCTTTATCCTAGCTTGATTGGCCTTTATCCTCGCTAATTGGCCTTTATTCTCGGTTGATTGGCCTTTATCCTCGCTGATTGGTCTTTATTCGCGCTTGATTGGCCTTTATCCTCGCTGATTAGCCTTTATCCTAGCTTGATTGGCCTTTATCCTCGCTTGATTGGCCCTTATCCTAGCTTGATTGGCCTTTATCATCGCTAATTGGCCTTTATTCTCGGTTGATTGGCCTTTATCCTCGCTTGATTGGCCTTTATCCTAGCTTGATTGGCCTTTATCCTCGCTAATTAGCCTTAATCCTAGCTTGATTGGCCTTTATCCTCGCTGATTGGCCTTTATCCTCGCTTGATTGGCCTTTATCCTCGCTTGATTGGCCTTTATCCTCGCTTGATTGGCCTTAAACCCAACACCGATAACCTCAAGGCAATCAATCCCTTGCTTTAACAGCCTCCTGATAAGATAGTACTATTTGTAACTATGTACACCATAGTACAAATATTGACGTACTAAGCAATTATATAGTAGAACTTTGTACTATGTACTTTATAGAGTCCCCAAAAAAATTAAGCTAAAAAAAACAAATTTAAATATTCCTAGGGGTAGTATAGCATACATATGTACTATATTCGACCTGGGATATCGTATATTAGGCCCAGGAAGGATAGGTAAGGTTAGTCTATATTCGACCTGGGATATCGTATATTAGGCCCAGGAAGGATAGGTAAGGTTAGTCTATATTCGACCTGGGATATCGTATATTAGGCCCAGGAAGGATAGGTACGGTTAGTCTATATTCGACCTGGGATATCGTATATTAGGCCCAGGAAGGATAGGTAAGGTTAGTCTATATTCGACCTGGGATATCGTATATTAGGCCCAGGAAGGATTGGTAAGGTTAGTCTATATTCGACCTGGGATATCGTATATTAGGCCCAGGAAGGATAGGTAAGGTTAGTCTATATTCGACCTGGGATATCGTATATTAGGCCCAGGAAGGATAGGTAAGGTTAGTCTATATTCGACCTGGGATATCGTATATTAGGCCCAGGAAGGATAGGTAAGGTTAGTCTATATTCGACCTGGGATATCGTATATTAGGCCCAGGAAGGATAGGTAAGGTTAGTCTATATTCGACCTGGGATATCGTATATTAGGCCCAGGAAGGATAGGTAAGGTTAGTCTATATTCGACCTGGGATATCGTATATTAGGCCTAGGAAGGATAGGTAAGGTTAGTCTATATTCGACCTGGGATATCGTATATTAGGCCCAGGAAGGATAGGTAAGGTTAGTCTATATTCGACCTGGGATATCGTATATTAGGCCCAGGAAGGATAGATAAGGTTAGTCTATATTCGACCTGGGATATCGTATATTAAGCCCAGGAAGGATAGGTAAGGTTAGTCTATATTCGACCTGGGATATCGTATATTAGGCCCAGGAAGGATAGGTACGGTTAGTCTATATTCGACCTGGGATATCGTATATTAGGCCCAGGAAGGATAGGTAAGGTTAGTCTATATTCGACCTGGGATATCGTATATTAGGCCCAGGAAGGATAGGTAAGGTTAGTCTATATTCGACCTGGGATATCGTATATTAGGCCCAGGAAGGATAGGTAAGGTTAGTCTATATTCGACCTGGGATATCATATATTAGGCCCAGGAAGGATAGGTAAGGTTAGTCTATATTCGACCTGGGATATCGTATATTAGGCCCAGGAAGGATAGGTAAGGTTAGTCTATATTCGACCTGGGATATCGTATATTAGGCCCAGGAAGGATAGGTAAGGTTAGTCTATATTCGACCTGGGATATCGTATATTAGGCCCAGGAAGGATAGGTAAGGTTAGTCTATATTCGACCTGGGATATCGTATATTAGGCCCAGGAAGGATAGGTAAGGTTAGTCTATATTCGACCTGGGATATCGTATATTAGGCCCAGGAAGGATAGGTAAGGTTAGTCTATATTCGACCTGGGATATCGTATATTAGGCCCAGGAAGGATAGGTAAGGTTAGTCTATATTCGACCTGGGATATCGTATATTAGGCCCAGGAAGGATAGATAAGGTTAGTCTATATTCGACCTGGGATATCGTATATTAAGCCCAGGAAGGATAGGTAAGGTTAGTCTATATTCGACCTGGGATATCGTATATTAGGCCCAGGAAGGATAGGTACGGTTAGTCTATATTCGACCTGGGATATCGTATATTAGGCCCAGGAAGGATAGGTAAGGTTAGTCTATATTCGACCTGGGATATCGTATATTAGGCCCAGGAAGGATAGGTAAGGTTAGTCTATATTCGACCTGGGATATCGTATATTAGGCCCAGGAAGGATAGGTAAGGTTAGTTCGTCTTGGGGGACGTAAATTGAAAATCCTTCAAGGTTTGGCCACATACGGTAGTGGTAATTTCTCACCTGGGGGCCTTATCTAAGTAGTATCGTCAGCTGAGATAGACTACACCAGACTATCATCACCTGGGGGCAGGCTATCAACACCTGGGGGGTAGGCTATCAACACCTGTGGTAGGCTATCAACACCTGGGGTAGGCTATCAACACCTGTGGCAGGCTATCAACACCTGGGGGCAGGCTATCAACACCTGTGGTAGGCTATCAACACCTGGGGTAGGCTATCAACACCTGTGGCAGGCTATCAACACCTGTGGTAGGCTATCAACACCTGTGGTAGGCTATCAACACCTGTGGCAGACCTTGAAGAGTGTGGCAACTCTGTATATATTACAGTGTAGATATTACAGGTGTTGGGAATGAGAGGTATAATGAAAATAAAGTATACATTGCAGTTTCTGTATCCATACGTTTGGTTTTGTCGGTCTACCGACGGTTTCGATTCTTGCAGGGTCGGCGTTCGATCCCCCGATGGTTTATGTGGTTGTTACCGTTCGTTCGGTCTGTCCTTATATCCCAGCTCCTTGACCTTATATCCCAGCTCCTTGACCTTATATCCCAGCTCCTTGACCTTATATCCCAGCTCCTTGTCCTTATATCCCAGCTCCCTGTCCTTATATCTCAGCTCCTTGTCCTTATATCTCAGCTGCCTGTACTTATATCCCAGCTCCTTGACCTTATATCCCAGCTCCTTGACCTTATATCCCAGCTCCTTGACCTTATATCCCAGCTCCTTGTCCTTATATCCCAGCTCCTTGTCCTTATATCCCAGCTCCTTGACCTTATATCCCAGCTCCTTGACCTTATATCCCAGCTCCTTGTCCTTATATCCCAGCTCCTTGACCTTATATCCCAGCTCCTTGTCCTTATATCCCAGCTCCTTGACCTTATATCCCAGCTCCTTGACCTTATATCCCAGCTCCTTGTCCTTATATCCCAGCTCCTTGTCCTCATATCCCAGCTCCTTGTCCTCATATCCCAGCTCCCTGTCCTTATATCCCAGCTCCTTGCCCTTATATCCCAGCTCCCTGTCCTTATATCCCAGCTCCCTGCCCTCATATCCCAGCTCCTTGTCCATATATCCCAGGTCCATGTCCTTATATCCCAGCTCCCTGCCCTTATATCCCAGCTCCCTGTCCTTATATCCCAGCTCCCTGTCCTTATATCCCAGCTCCCTGTCCTTATATCCCAGCTCCCTGTCCTCATATCCCAGCTACCTGCCCTTATATCCCAGCTCCCTGTCCTTATATCCCAGCTCCCTGTCCTTATATCCCAGCTCCCTGTCCTCATATCCCAGCTACCTGTCCTTATATCCCAGCTCCTTGTCCTTATATCCCAGCTCCTTATATGTCCTCCTATATCCCAGCTCCTTGTCCTTATATCCCAGCTCCCTGTCCTTATATCCCAGCTCCTTGTCCTTATATCCCAGCTCCCTGTCCTTATATCCCAGCTTCCTGTCCTTATATCCCAGCTCCTTGTCCTTATATCCCAGCTCCCTGTCCTTATATCCCAGCTACCTGTCCTCATATCCCAGCTCCTTGTCCTTATATCCCAGCTCCCTGTCCTTATATCCCAGCTCCCTGTCCTTATATCCCAGCTACCTGTCCTCATATCCCAGCTCCCTGTCCTTATATCCCAGCTCCCTGCCCTCATATCCCAGCTCCTTGTCCTCATATCCCAGCTCCTTGTCCTCATATCCCAGCTCCCTGTCCTTATATCCCAGCTCCCTGTCCTTATATCCAAGCTACCTGTCCTCATATCCCAGCTCCCTGTCCTTATATCCCAGCTCCCTGCCCTCATATCCCAGCTCCTTGTCCATATATCCCAGGTCCATGTCCTTATATCCCAGCTCCCTGCCCTTATATCCCAGCTACCTGTCCTTATATCCCAGCTCCCTGTCCTTATATCCCAGCTCCCTGTCCTTATATCCCAGCTCCCTGTCCTTATATCCCAGCTCCTTGTCCTCATATCCCATTGTAGTGCTATATTATGCACGGGGAAAGCGCTTGTTCATAACGACCTAACTATGCTGTTTGTGCACGCTAACGAGGGGTGAGCACATGGTGGTCACTGTACAAACCAGCTTTAGTACATCACAAATACACCCTGTGCACTATATACATGTATGATATATATGTATGATATATGTATGAGTTATATATATGAGTTTTCAGTCGCATATAGTCCTGGGGACCATTCAGGCTTGTTCGCACATATATGTATATATATATAGGGACTAAAGAACTAAG